CATTAGACCCCAAAAGCACACCACCCTGTCTCTCTCCAAGTTGTGACAACCAAAAATGTCTCTGGGCACTGCCGAACATCCTCTGGGGGGGGGCAGTCCTCCCCCCACTTTGAGTCGCCGTAATGGGGGGGTCATAATGAACACACTTAGCGTAGAGGGTTTCGTGAAACAACGATAAACATCGCCCCAAATTTGAACATCTCCATCCAATTTTTAAGAATTTTATACACAATATGGCTAGCGTTTTTTCAACCTAACTATCAGTTTTACTTCTCAAGCTATTTAGACACGTAGCATATATATGAAAATAACCACACTCAAGCCTTCCTCAAAACTCCCAACGAAGGGACAGAGCCTTCTCTAATTCCTTGAGGGAAGCTGAGCTTATGATTCTACAAGTCCGCTTTGAAGATTTAAGTTTGAAATGCACAAACGAATTTCCCATCTCTTCCTTTGCAGAGGAATAAAATAAATAAAATAAATTAAAAAAATAAATAAATAAAGGAACCGGTTGCTTGATTGCTGTGCTCTTGAGACTTTAAATATCTCTCCCCGTCTCAGTTTTGGTGGGAGATGGGAAGGTATTAAAAGCTATAATACAATCATTCGCATGCTTAACCGTAGTCTGGAGGAACTGGAAAAGCTTTGTAAAGTTTCCCAAGAGGTTGAAGTGCTCTGACAGGGGTCCGATGCCTGCCCCCCCCCCCTCCCATCCCCCACCGCAGGGACAGACCATGTGTCACTTTGTCGGGACACTGTCGCAGCCAACTGTAGGTGCTGGGCTTGCAGCCTCCTTACCACGCTGTACATGAGTGACCTTGAAAATGGGCTAAATCTCCTTGGATCTCCACTGTCCTTTCTTTGAAAATAAAAGTAAAAGCAGTCACTGAATCCCTCATCGAGCGGTTTGAGGCTTAATGAGATCACAGTTGGGGGACCGGGCGTTATCGTTGGAAGGGTGTTACTTCTCACTTCAAGCCTGCCAGGCTCTCTCCGTATTTTGCCTATTTCTTTTTGTTAAATTGGTTAGGTAGGCAGATGTTTCTTTTATATAATTGGAGATGCAGGATTTAGAAATGTCACGGAAGTACCTGTTAACCACCCTAAATTTAAATCTGGTGAGTTGAGATTAGACATACCAAAGTTTAAGCTTATTTTGTGTACGTAAAAAAAAAAAAAAAAAAAAAAAAAAAAACCATAAATTACATAAACCTATTATAGATACAAAATAAGTTTAAGCTCGTCTCTAACACGTGTCATTGCTCTGTATACATAATATGTAAAACAGGTTCAAACCCTATATGTATGTATGTTACAGATACAAATATCCTTGAATAGATTCACAGTACACAATAATGAAACACTACCTAAAAATATCGGTAAGGCCATGGCTTACACAATTTGAAAAAGCCTTTGGTATTTTAGATTAGAAGGTATAAGCAATAGGTAGTAAACATGTGAACGGAGTTAGAAGAATTTAGTTGGTGTGAAGAAAGGAAAGCTCTAGGCACAAGTCACTCCAGGCAGCCTGCCTGTTTATCTTGTGGAAGGAGAACTTATCTACAGCCCTCGGAGGAATATGAAGAGAGTGCTGGTTTTGTTGTGTCCCGGTGTGTTTTGTGGTCTGTGCAGCCGGAAGTCGGGGGATTAGGCAGGAAAATGTTAGTTCCTTTACATGAGAGCTAAAGACTGATCTCTGACTAATGTTGAAACGAACCAGATAAACTGGGGTTGGTCCAAGGGGGAAAGCAAATAATAAAGTGAGAAAAACATCTCTGAAACTGGAGCATGATTTTAGAACGTTCCAGGGGCAGCAGCATGGGATGTTTGTCTTATGGAAGGGGATGGGACTCCTGCAAGTGTGTGCCCTGCACAGTAAGATTTTCTCCCTGTCCAAAATGATACCAGTGACCCCACATTTGTGTACTTTGCAAAGCACTTCCCCTGCCGCCATTTCATTTGATCCTGAGGACAACCCTGAGAGTGGCTGTCATCATTTTCAATGGATCGAGGCCATTTAGGCTCAGGCTGTCAAGGGACTGGCTCAAAGGCCCTTATTTGGAAATTGGTGGATAATCACTTCTATCCCACACACCAGGTTGCTTTGAAGGAAGGAAGAAAGGAAGGAAGGAAGAGAAAGAGAGAATGAGAGAAAGAAAGAAAGAAAGAAAGAGAAAGAAAGAAAGAAAGAAAGAAAGAAAGAAAGAAAGAAAGAAAGAAA